ATCCCGCGCCTCGTCCACGGAGCCTCCAGGATCTGTGGAGCCTCGTCCGGCTGCCTGGTGGCTGCAGCTCTGACCGTGGGGATCCCCATCGGTGAGTTCCCTGCACCATGCACACTCAACATCACATGTGGGTTCATGTATCCACATATTTGATGTGTAAAGGTAGATCGTACAGTTGAGTGTTTTGTAAAAAGCTTTTAACATGACATCAGAATCAGAATTCAGTTTATTGCCAAATTGGGTTTAACATACCAGAAACTTGCTTTGCTGTATGATAATTGATACATCAACACAGTAAGAACATGTTTTTTTAAATAAAGAAATATAAAAACTGCAGTCAAAATTATTAAAAAGTAAAAAATGTGTACAAGAAGTATGGTAAAAATAATTCAAATGTATGTTATATCTGAATGAACAGTGCAGGTTTTTTTGTTTTTAAGTATGAGTTCACAGTTTATTTCCTATTACACTATTCTATTTTGTAATAACATTTGTTTTTTCCTCTTTTTATACATCTAAATCTTACTTTATTATTGTATATGCATATCCATATATGTATTGTATGTATCTGTAAAGTCCACTGACACTGTTCTGAATTTTTGTAGGACTTCTATTTACTTTTACATTTCACCTTATACATCATTTATTGAGTTATTTGTTATCCCTCTATTGACATTGTGGTAATATGGATCGAATAAATAGAAAATGATCATATTGAAGAACAAATAAAAGCTGTATGTTTTAAATCATGTGTCAAACTCAAGGCCCGGGGGCCAAATCAGGCCCTTGGTGGATTTAATTTCAGCCCGCAGGATAATTTCTAATTACTATTAGATCTGGCCCGCCGGTATATTGCACTCACACCTTCACTCAATCCTGAGGGTCTCCTCAGCTCAGAGCCTGATCCTCAGCTCAGAGCCTGACCCCAAACATTGATGAGATGCCAAGTATCTGAACTAGCATCACAGAGCAGCACACTGAGTTTACATGGATGTTTCCTACTGCACTTTGTTTCTTGAGACAACAGGGCATGTTTGGTTTTTTCTTTGAGGGAAATAGTTTTTTTGAAGCTGTTGTTGGCCTGTGGAAAATGTAATCATAAGAAATGAATCAGAAAAGCTGCAGATAGAGCCATAAGAAATGAATGCAACTAATTATTTAATGTTTAATGTTGTTTTTATTGGCAATAATTTAAGCGTTGTTAGTTCCAGGTTTAATTTGTGCAATAAATTCATTTCAATAAGTTCTGCAATAAACATTGAACCAGTCCGG